GTACTCGCAGCTTCTCGGCAGTTCGGTTAGGGCGCAAGCATCGATGGAAACACGTGCTCAAGAGCGTCCGCGAAATGTTCCCACAATTTCCAATACAAGCGTTGGTGTTGCTTCACCTGTGCTGCTGCCTTGTTGCTGATCGTTCGATTCAAGCGATTCCACGCTGAACCTCCTGTACAAGGACGCGCGAAGAAGGCGCAATCCAAGTCGGATCTGAGGCATGCCTTGACCTTGTTTTTCCCATACGATGAAGTGGCATCGTCATCTTCCGTGATTGTGACCACATTCATATACTGCTTCTCTGTCGCAGTCTGCAGAAAAGTGAACCAGTTTTGTTCTTCAGCGCACATGAGAACAAGGCACGGCGCGTTCCTCTCCATCTCGTGTAGTATCACGCAGTGGTCGTGTGTTCGGTTCTTCGTCACCATCGTCTTGATTTCTTGAAGGTGCAACTCGAACTGGTACGTATGTGACCTGCCTGATTGCCTTTGTAAAATCAAATGCAACACTGGCTTGCGTCCAACTGGTGTTTCGCTTGACAAATACTGAATCGACTGAGGCGCAAACATGTTGCTCTGTGGAATAACGCTCAACCCCCATGCTTGCATACATATGGTTATACCTTCTTTGTTGTTCTTCCTTGTGGCTTTCTTATCAGGTACTGTCCCTGTGTCATCAGTGAGGACACGAAACACAGTGCTCCCGACCCATAGTTCATCTTGGTCGCCACGAGTCGTGCGCATTTACTTTGCCACTCTTGTAAAAGTGCGCTGTGATCCGATCATCAGCCAACTCCGAAAGGTCGATGGGACAAATCATCACACTCTGATGGAACAAATTTCTTTGTTCTTGGGACGTTGTGCACTCGTGTCAGTGTATGCCTGTTCAAACGCCATTCCTCTGGACACTTTTTGTTTGTTTTTGTGGTTTTTGGTCTCGACTTCTGAGCGTCAAAATGGTCAATCACCGCACCGCAAGCGCGAATTAATGCACCATCCTGCCCCCTACTCCCCCATGTAGCAGCGTGTTGATCACACGAAGGGTTGCAGGTTGGCAATTGAATGGTTGCAATCGATCATACGCGAAAGCAGGGTCACATGAGAGAGGCTCAAGTGAGAATTGAAGGACGGCATCAGGAGTCCAAAGGACATTGGCCAAGGCGGGAAGAGGCGAAGAGGAGCAGCAAACACCAGCTTCCGAGGTGGAAGAGGCCTGCGAGACATGATATAAGAAGCATGCTCGTTCGACCCACTGGTCGAAGCGTTGGCCTGTTGTAAGGGTGGTGCTTCCGTTTCGACTCGATTCCACAGACCATTGACAAGTACCCCAGGCGCTCCTGCGCACGTCGGCTGAGATAACGACGATGAACACTTTCAACAAGACCATTTTGTCCTGCTCTACGAGATTTCCCACAAGATGTGTGCTGATATCCATACAAAGGCTTTCCGGACGCCACTTGCTTGGCGCCGAGCGTGTATGTTGATCAACCTTCTTGATCCTGCGCATCTGGGTTCTCAAGAGTTGCCGACATGGTCTCCCCTTCTGTCGATCACAAGAAAATCGACCGCCAAGTGTCTCAGACAAAGACCGATGGCATTCCCAATTTCCCGTGCACGCAAACCCGGTCTTACTGAGCCTAACTTTGCATCGATAGAGTGGAACCTTGGATCGCCGGAGTCCATCAACTTGTCAGGATCAGGGTCATCAATAGCTTCTTTAACCCAGTCGATCCATGGCTGTCGATCTGAGTCGTTCACTGCGATGACGATTGCCTGAATCAAGTTGGCTTTCCATATAGTCCTAGATCGTTGACCTTGGGCCATGGTGGTACATTTACCTGTCATATACTTCATCACGTTCTTTCCTCAACCTATTATCTGTTTCACTCTCTTGACGCTTTATAGGTCCTCTTCAAACGTGATTGACTCTCTTCGTTGAACCGAGTAGTTGGTAACCCCCGTCCACCCCGACTTTCGTCCTTCATGGTGCCATGGCGCATCTCAGCCTTCATTCTCGCGTTCTCGGTCCTTGCTTACAACAGTTTCTTTTCAGCAATGTGTTGGTTCTCCTCAAGTTCCCTGAACTTCTCTTCAAGAGCCCTTCTTTCTCTAACATCTGTCGCAGATGCTCTCAAGAGATTTTCCCTCTTCAATATCTTGTTGGCCTCGGCAAGGGCGAAATTGGCCTCTTTCAACTGTCGTTGTTCTTCTTTCGACTGCCTCTGTAGTCCGGACGCAGCATCTTCCATTGTCTTCGTTGCTTCAGCCATCACTCTTGCCTCGTACTGAAGTTGTTTTGCCCGCGTCTCCCTCTCGCTGATTTCCAGCTTGTATCCCTGTATCTCCGTTTTGTATTCCAAGTCATAGTGACCCATCTCTCCGATCATGTTCATCTCTGATCCCTTGATGATTGCCAACTGACCACGAAGATGTTCGACCATTCTTTTCTCCCGATGCTGATGACCAGTGGCCTCAGCAATCTCATCGGCCAACCGCGTTTCTCTCTTCTTTCTGAGCTACCTCCAACATGTTGCTGTTCTCGTCTTGTAGCATCAGCATCCTCATCTGGAGCTCGTTGGCGACATTCATAATCACTTGATTCTCTTCACTGAGGTTCTGAGCTCGCCTGTTGTAGGTGTCAGAAGTTCGATTTTGTTCTTGGACGTATTGAAATGCACCTTGCATCTTGCTGGTCATGTCCTCCATCTTGGATCTTGCCTCATCAAATTGGGTATGTTCCTCATGATTCTCATAAGCAATTTCCTCGTACTTTGTGTAGATGTGACCTGCTAATGATTCAAGTCGGAGCTTCCTCTCAAGTTCTTCAATCCGTATGGTTGCTCCTTCATCCTCTTGTATAGGTGAGTGCTCATAGCCATATTGCATCTTGTCAATTGCGAAAATTCCTCCTGTGATTCAGCGTAGAGTCTCGTGTGTCCTTCACGCAGACAACTGTATTCATCATTCAAGTACTGGTACGATACTCTAGCCGATCGAAGTTCTTCCATAAGTCGAACTTCTCTTTCTTCCAGCTCTTTGGCATCCTCAGTCTCAACTCTCTCAATATCTCCCTTTGGTGATCTTCTTGACGTCGTTCTCGGTGATGTAGATCTCGTAAATCTCTTCATGACTCTTTTTGCGTTGCCCATTCTAACATCGGATCCGGTAGACGTCGCCTCCAGTGGAGCGACTCTACCTTCACCTGATATTTGTGATGTAAATGGCATGGTAATAATTGTGGCGGCATCAGCAGGACTGGCACCAGTAATTGAGCCAGGCGACGACTGCGATGCATTCCCTGGAGCGGCGAACGAGAAATGTCCACTGCTCTTTCCTCCAGAACTCGACATTGCAGGTTGAGTCTTGATTGCAGTATTGGTCTCTCAAAGCTCGTAACCTCAGAGCGGCTACGGCTGATAACCTGCGTGTGGATATTAATCTGCCCAACGTGAAGTGTAGGTAGACTATCCTCTCCCTCGTAGACAGCGATGGCGCGCACTTGTTTTTCGCTTGCTCTACGGGAGTCTTGAGCCAAATGTAGGCGTGACACGCTAAAGTATACTGTACATGCATATGGTACGCTGTCGTCCCACTGCTGTTGACATATATTATATATACAGATATGATATGTGTGTACGCATATCTGCTTCTGAAATATGGCGCCAAAGCGACCAGGAAGCAAGGTCCAGACCGTGCCCCCTAAACATCTCTTGTCTGTGGTCAATCATATTTGAAGGCCAGCCGGTTGACCGCTTTGTTCGATCGCTAACCCACTCACACTCTCACTCACACTCTCACTCACACTCTCTCACTCTGAATCTCATTCACACTCACCATCACCTGTCTGGACCCCAATGCGTCTAGATCTCTAGACTTTCTGCTGCTACACCTCTAGACCATACACACACTGTTTGGGGTCTCTTGCCGGGATGACGACGAAGCTGCTGTTAGCGCCCTTTAGGGCGCTGAGCTAGATGGAGGAAGCCGTGGGCTTCCCTTTGCCTGGTCTAGGGCTCCTACCTGCTCTGCCTGTCTAGAGCTCCTACCTGCTCCGCCTCTGGCCCCTCAAACCTTTTTTTTGGTTTCGAAGCTGCCGTTAGGCACCCTGTCGGCGCCCTTTTGCGTGAGGAATAGATAGGGGAAAACTGTGGCTGTACCTCGGCCTTTTGGCTTCGCTTTGCCCCTGGTCTAGAGCTCCTACCTGCTCTGCCTCTCTAGAGCTCCTACTACGTCTGCCTCTGGCCCCTCAAGATTTTTGGGGAGGAGGTTTCGAACTCAAGCTTTTTTAAGTTGGGTTTCGAAGCTGCCGCTCTAGTGGAAGACTTCCTGCCCGAGTTTTCGGAGAAGATACTGCCCATCGTGGTGCGCGCCTACTTCAACGAGGACTTGGAGTATTTGCAGACGGTGTGCGTCGGTGAGGCGCACCGCGCGGTCGTCCGCAGCGTCCGCATCCAATCCTCGCACCCCCCCCGCTGGAGCACATACAGCTGCAGAACAGCTCCACAGCAGCACCGGAGCACGCATCCAACGCTCGCTTTTTTCCGGGGTAGCAGACTAAACGAGAACCCAAGCATCGGAGATGCTTTTGGGAACAAGTCGCAGCAGCACTTTCAGGCGGTACCCTGCAGCGACCTCTCCCTATCTTGAAGTAAGAACACCCTAAAGCTCTCGGTATCTGAGGAACAAACAAAAACGCACAATGTTTTCCAAACTAGTCCCAACCGTTGTAGGAGCAAGATAGTGACCCAAACTTTGGGGGGGCATAGCTTCAAAATCATTGTGTTTGGTCCTTGGATTGTTGGCATGGCTAATCATCCTTTATTGCTCTTGGATTTTGGGCGTAGTCTTGAGATCATTGTGTATGCAGAATGCGATGATTGCAGGTAGAAGGCAAACGAGGTAGATTGTGCCTGCCGGGCGCAGGGGGCCCCCTACTCAGCGAGCCCATTGCAAGCACTCATTCAAGCAATGAAAAGCCTTTGAGCTATTCAGCCACGCTGCACGTCCCTCAACACATGGAAGAGATTGTGCTTGTACTCGTTAGCAAGCTCATTCCTGCATCATGCCAAATTGACGCAAGCTCAACAAGTAAAGTTGGCTGAATTGAATAGTTGAAAGCCTTCCAAAAGCTCTCTCTGCGCCTGGTCACGAACGTAATGTGCAAACGAAGGATGGGCCCGGTCAGGAGTGACAGTATCACAGAATACCTTTGCACTGATGCCTAAACGCAGGCTTTTAATACTAGTAAGCCACACAAACAGAAAAACATGCACAAGTCATTCAATTCATTGAATGTGGGGCACGTAAGATGCATGATGAGCAAGAACCCCGTAAAATGTCGACCCTCACTTGAAGTCCATATGATCAGAATAAAGTCTATGATGCACCCGCACAGACCAATCATCAGCAAGCCAGCCAGCATGGTGACAAACTCGCGGTGGTTCAGCAGTCCCACTGCATTTGTTAACCAACGGCAGTAGTGGTCATACCTTCGAATTGGCTGCTTGAAAAGCCACATCTTGTGGCACCTCCTGGGAAGTTCCCCAACAGAATGAGCATGCGTAAAGGCCTCCATTTCTTTCACGGCGAGTTTGCCTGGGTCGCAAAGTACACAATAAACTAAACAATATAGGGTAAGCGCATAGAGGCACATGAAGAAAGCACGCAACTCGTAGCCCCAAGCCAACTCCCTGATGATCGGAAACTCAATCAGAAGCATATGAAGAGCACCAATCAAAGTGGACCCCAAGAGCATGAGAGGAAGATACGGGCGCTTGTCATTGCCGAAACAGTCGACACTGTCAGCCGGAGGTTTGCGTTCATCGCCACATTCATCAGCATCACACTCCTCTTCTGCACATTGTTGCTCTTGAGGATCTGTGCAAGATGCCGTCCTTTGCGCTCTGTGCGTGCCAGAGGCAAGGCGAGGTACAGGGCTTTGAGCTCCACCTGGATGTGTGCCGGGTATAGGCAACGTGCTTGGAACACTTGCAGCAGCTTCCTCCAGGAGACCGTGATCCCGCTGTCCTTCCTTTTGCATCACATGCTATAGCATCTACACCTCTCTGCTTGGCTGCATGGGCTTTGCCACTGTCGAAACATAGAAATGTTCACAGGATGAACATACTGCAAGTCGTGAAAGAGCTGTGGAAGCTAGACTAGCAGTAATGCGTATGAGTCAATAACTTTGATCCTGTGGCGACATTACAACACACTGCCAAAAAGATCCATGATACACTCCTCCGTTCACAAGTAACAAACTGCGAACTAGATCTTGGCCTGTTCTTTTTTGTTCGCGGCCCTCTTGTCAGCAAACTTGAAACGTTGGAACATCGCCGAATCAACTCTGAGCAAAGCTCTTGAAAAATAGCCCAGAATTGTGTGAGCGGCGGTGGAACTTGCTACGTGATGATACTGCAACAACTTATGCGGCAGTACGCAGGTCGGCTTGCACATGAACCACTATCGGCTCCTGGCAACGCATGTAAAGTGGAAAGGTTTGCAAACATCGAAAACACAAGGTTTGTCTGCACAAGTGGGTTACAGCAAGGGTTTTGCATTGAAAAACCTTGCACAATTTTGATGCACATCAATATACAATTTGCAAGTTCATATCTTTACACATGTTCATGAGACCAGCGGCAAAGGTTGAACACTGGTTGAACGGAGGTGCCTCCCTACATATGTGTTAATGCCCCGCGTTATGGCAAAGGAGTTGCATCGAACACCTGCTGGATGGCCAATTCTGACATTGAACATCAGCAGCTGAAACGCAAGTCTTGATATTGAACATCAACCGACAAGGGTGCATCTTTCCACATGCTGATTCAAGCAGCGCATAGGTTGAACATCACTAGGTTTTTTGTTCGTGTTTGTTGCCCTGCTTTGCGGCAACGGTATGGCCTTGAATGTATATATATATATATCTATCTACCTAGATTAACACTGTAACACTTGAAACATCAATATGGTCATGGGGTGTGAATGCAAGAGCGCACTGGAAGCGCTGTCAGGCATGGGAAAATAGAACGCAGAGGTGGGAAGTCTCTCAGTCACAGGTGGGGGGGGTGGGCTGCTTTTTCTTTCGGTTGAAGGGGCGTTTTGAAGAGAGAAAAGGGACCACTAAGTAATCGAGGGGCGCTTGCCGGCGGTTTGTTTCTCGTGTCTTGTAGATAGACTCGTGGACTTGGCGCGCTGCTAAGAGTGGATTGATGATCATGCGATGGTCCAACCTGGGGGGAAAGAAAGATCGCCGTTGATATGGGGGGAAGTGGATATTGCAGTGACGCGCGCTGTTGGAATTAGAAAGCAGAAAGCATAGGTGGGGGGGGTGGCCTTTTTCCTTTGGCTCGGGACTTTTTCAAGACGAAAAAGGGAACCTGGAAGGAATTGCGGGCGCTATTCTTGTCTTGTAGATGGCCGCGTGTACTGGGCGCGCTGCCAAGAGTGGGTCGATGTTGAAGCCAAGATCAAGCGACTGTCTAACATCAGGTAAAGAGTAGCTTTGTTATGGGGTGAAGTCGACACTGCAGCAACGCCGACGGACGGTAGAAATAGAAAGCAGAAGACTTAGGTAGGGCAGCGGGGGCTGGCCTGCTGTTTGTTATTCGTAGATGGAGGCAGACACCCGGCGCGCCGCCAAGTGCGGATGATGCGATTGCTTAAAATGAAGGAAAGATTGCTGTGGAGGCCTCACCCGACCCGCCTAGGCCATCGGCTGGCTTTCGCAATGACATATTTGCCCCAGTAGCGGACTGTTGCATGGACCGCCAACCGCTTCCGGAGCGACTCCAAGGGAACCTCGCGGCATGGTACTAGGATGCCCTCTTCGAAGTTCTTGCCTGATGCCTGCCTCCAAGTTTCGTCCTTCTTCTGCTGATGGCCTTGGGCCTCCGCCGGCTTCTCGTGCCGGTCGCCTCAACACGCCTCCTCCCCTGCCTGCAGGAGGATTTTTCAGCACGAGGAGGTCCACGTGGAGTTGCTGCAGCTGGCCGTCTCTTCGGTGCCATTGAGATAGGCGGCTGGATACTTCAGGCTTTCGCCCAAAGTAGTACTGCCGTTCCTTCTTGCCTCGACCTTTGTTTTGACCCCAGTATTGAGGTTGCCTTTGCCACGCCTTGATCGGTCCCTTCCACTGTCCACTATCTGGTCGAGCAACTGGAGCAGGTGGTCCGCTTCCTTGGTGGCGACCTGGACGGAGTAGCAGGTGGTTTGACTGTCGGCTTAGCTTTCTTCTCCTTTCCTTTGCCTTCTTCCTCCCCTCTCCTTTTGTTGGGAGTGTTCTTAGGGCTTGACTCTTGGTTCGACGTCGACGACGCCTGGATCGGCTCTTTGATCTGTCCTTCTGCCTCGGCTGCTACTTCTCCTCTTTGATCCTTTCTCTTTGCTTGATCGGCTTGGATCCGCTCGATGTCTTCCCCTCCTCGACTTCTTCCACTTCAGCTAGTCCTCTAGGAGACGGTTTCTCCCCTTCCTCCTCTCCTTTCGGGCTACCCCAACTCTTATCCGGCCTGTCTGGATGCGAGTTCTTACTCCCCTCTCTAGGAGTGCGTTCACTCTTGGATGGCGGTGCTGACTTTGGAGCTCTAGTCTTCTCTGCCGCTTTCCGTGCCGCTTCAGCCTCCTCGATCTTCTCACACTCCTCCTCAATGACCCCCGTCCACACTCGGAGGTTGGTCAGAGCCCAGCCTCTGGCACTGACTGGCAAGCGGTCCAAGGAGTGCCAAAACCTATTGCGGCAACGGCAGAAGACACAAGTAGCGTCCACTTGAGGGGTGTGGACACCACAAAGTCGACACGGACGCATCGACTGCGCTGTGAGCCCAAACCTATGAGAAAAAGTGTTCACGAATCGTTTCGTCTTTAAGTCCGTGGGCGTTTCCCCATATATATATATATGCTAATGTCAAGATATGCTGATGATGATGTCCGATACTCATCATGATGATGATGATGATGATGATGATGATGATGATGATATGTAATGCTCATGTTCTTGCTCTTAAAAGAACCCTTCGCTCAAACGCTCTCGGGAAAAAACACATACATCTTTTTTTTGGAGGAAGAAAGTCTGTTCTTATTATAGTCGATTAAAACATCTATGAAGTTCCTTTTGCGTGGCCAGTGGCGATTATCACTCGCTTTTGAATTGCAGAATGCACTGGCGCTACAATTTTGTGATTTCACGCTTCAAACAAACAACAGTTCATGCTTGTTAGATCAGGTTAGCTGATTGAACTCACAAAACTGTTGCGTGTTGTGGCGTGGTCAAATTTCACGCCCGCTGGAAATTGGTGACGTGATTAACTTGGTGTGAACACTGACCACTCACACCTTCGCAGATCCAGCGTAGGATTCTAGGGAGAAGGAAGGGCCAGGGCTGCGAGCCTTTTCAAGAAAAACAACATTTGACTGTCTCCCAGTGCATAGTCTATTATAGTCTAGCCGTTCCTGATGAAGGCATTGCGCGCAACGTGTTTCCTGTCCTTCACATCAACGACAAAGATTCACCTCCAAGGCCTTGAAGAGGGAGTTGCTCCAGAATGTTCCTTGTGAACATCCAGATTTTGTGTACTGGTTTAGAAATTGACAGAGGAAAAACTTCAGGGCCGCCTTTAGAATCATTGTCTCTTTTGACCAAACCGGAGCGCAACACGTTTTCTTTGCAGCAAGGGATCACTGGCTGTCCCGCACTTGCAGGCTGACCACCAAGATACCCTAGTCGGACCTCTGAGAAACATCAAAGCAACAGGATCTGGACATGAATTCAGCAAAAGCGAGAACCCTCGAGTCATTCCAGCCAAGAGACATATTCTTCAGTCACACAAAACAAGCCCAGGTGCAAGGCAAACCCGTGGAGCTGATCCTGAGACAATTTGTGGCAGTCAAACGCAGAATCACAAACTGTAGCAGAAGAATACACATTGCGAATATTTCAGAATTAATGTAGTTCTTATACACAATTATGACATTTCAGAAGCAGCTTCTATATATATATATACATATGACCTTATATCTATCCACAACGCCTGCAAACGAAAAACGAGTGACGCAAAGGTTCAAAACTTCACTGCAAGCAAACAAGCAAGCTGCGACAAGTCTTTAATCTTGGGCGCACACCAGCGTACATCTGGCCCAGTTTTGCAAAGCTCTTTTCCTTACTCATTTCCACATGCTTCGAAACTGACTTCGGGGAAGAGTCCCATGTCCTTCCTTTGCAAAAACCACTTCCTTGGCAGCGCGCCCATATTAATGTGGTCCTTTGATTAATAAACCCCCCTAGAATAATGTATTTTTTTCTCCTGCGCTGATTAATAAAGGCCCCCAGAATAATGTCTTTTTTTTTTGGCAGGGATAGTTGTAGTGGAATATGTTTAATTGTTATAGTTTACTTTTTCCCTTTTGAGTTTGCTGGGATTTGCTTATCTTACAGGCCTTTGGATGGAGAATTCTATTAAACACTTGAAGATTTCCATTGAGATGTGATGCTTTTGGAGGCTTTTGGATTAGATTTCTATTCAAAATTTAGAGATTTCCATTGCGATTTGATGCTTTTGGAGGCTTTACTTACCTAAGCTCTTTAGTCTTTAAGCTTTCCAAAACTTTCCAAAAGACAGTGCACTGTTTCTGTACAAAATCCCTTATTCAAAACTATTGAAACAACAAAAAATCATTCAAGCAAAGGGGGTAGTCCAGCAAGCAGCTTTCTGACATTATTTAGGGGGGGCCTAGAATAATGTCTAGAGATTTCAGGCTTCAAAAAATATGTTGCTTTAGGTAAACTTGTATTCATTCCCTTTCTGTTCCTTTTGATTTGCTTTACTTACCTAAGCTCTTGAGTCTTTAAGCTTTCCAAAAGTTTCCAACAGTCAGTGCACACTTTCTTTACAAAACCCGTATTCAAAAGTATTGGATGCTTTTGAAGGTCTTTGGATTCAGATGTCCATTAAAATATTGAGAAGTCCATGTCCACTTTATTGATTTCCTTTTACTTTAGTATTCCAAATGTCTTCAATTTGAGATTTCATTGATTCCCCTTTATTTTTAATATTGCCAGAGAAGGCCAAGAAGATTTTAATAAGGATTCTTTTCATTTTGGTCCTTTGATTAGTTTTCTTGTAGATTATATTGGAGGCCCTGGTGGGGGGGGGGGGGGGGGGGGGGGGGGGGTTGATTAATCAAGGGACTACATTATGAGCGCATGGCTTCACGCCATGTGTCTTTTAAACACCACCACCGCCTCTTTTCTGCAACCAAAAAGACAGCAATGCGCTGTGGACTGATCACATGTCCTCTTACCACAACAAAAATTGCTGCTTTCCAAGCGCAATTAGATGCCGACCATGCAATTTTGCATGACAATCGTTTAGCATTCCCACGAATACACTCGCAAAAGGCCCGCCAGCTATGCCTCAAGACTTGGCTTCATGGCAACAGTCACAGCCCTCGAAAAGCGTGGAGTGTGACTATTGTCCCAAGGTGGCCTTCAGCTGTGTAGAGTGTGTCCGCGCCGTTTGACCGCTCCTGGGTCCTGAGTGACAGCTATATAAAGGATTACACAGTTGGCCCTTGTTTTTCTCTGGGAGGAGGCCTTCGCATCCGTTTTGCAAAAAAATGCGAGTGAGCCCGCCAGAGACTTCGAACATCAAAAACATCAGGTTACATGTGAGACCGCCTCACCATTGAGAATCTGCGGTTTTCCTCCGACGGATCATTCGGTCATGCAAGTCATGCGGTCCAAGTTGTGCCGATAGGGCATGTTGTAATGACCAGCTGATAAGCCTTGTATACACTTCACGCGAAGCGAGAAGTTCCAGGCAATCGTTTTGCCCCTTCTGCTCCTTTTCCTTCCTGTTCTTCTCGCTATCCTTTTTCTCCCTTTTTTCCGGCTTTATTTTGTACTGTCCTTGTCCTTTTCTCACATACGTTCAACGTGATTTGCTTGACATGCACCAAAATCAATAGAACCAATGTACGCCTTTGTGCAATGAAAAAGACACTGGGCAAAGCTGAATGAATTTTCATAACATGCTTTGAGAAGAGAAAGCGCCCACAGACTTCAAGGTGGAACGAGTGTAGGTTGAAACAACTGTTCGCTGTGTTCACTTCTAGAAAACGGAGGAAAAATGTGGGACTCGGCAAAGATTGGGGAAACTACACATCACAACCCTAAGGAAAATAATATAAATATTGTGCAGTAAGTATTGTAGGTGTTTGCCTGTGCAAATGTGCAATACTTTCTGCAGTCTGACCGCCGCAGGTCTGAAGGCTTTGCTTGAAGGGAGGCAAGACCTCGCGGTTTGCTGGCATGGTGCGATTGTCAACCAAAAATCCTTGAATTTCAGCAGTCCAACTTCCACAATCATGCATGCACAACATTAATTAGCTCAAGTGCAGTTGCTCAACTATTTGTGCCCAATACTCATGCCCTGCCTTCACTTGGAACAACAGCCACGGAGCGAAAACCTGAAAATTCAATGGATAACACTGTTGAGGTCAAGGTTTTGTCTTGGTATCCCTCTGCCTCGTGGCACCTGGCTGGGTGGCCGCAGAAATGTCTCCCGCGGCCTGACCTTCCAAAATTTGTCAAAACAATAATCAGTACTTACTTCCCCTCCTCATCTCCCACTGTGGCTTGGGCAATGCACCACAAGGCGGACAAAGCAAGCAACACCCGATGCCACCTGAAAATGAATTGTGGAACCGTTCCAAAAGGCACCTTTTGTTTTTCATTGATTCATTGTTCTCGAAGAGGATGTTTCCAACCGGGTATGACACGATCATGTTTCTTCAAAGCTGGCTGCTCGTCATCCTAGAAGTTGCTGCGTGGCACACAAGCAAACCGTAAATTGTTCCAACCAACCTGTTGGCCACCAATTACGGAAGCCGCGATGTGACCAGCTGTATCCAAATAAACTATGAATGGAAGCTTCCAAACCAATATATACACAAGTGAGATATGATAAGTGCACTCAAGGCCCAACACATGCTCGTATACACACCTACAAAGATACGCGATGTGTGTAATATGTATGGTGGGTGCATGATGTACAAAAAAGTATAGAACCATAATAGATACATATTATCATACAAATGTTACATACTAAACCCCTTCTCACGCTTTTTTCCCTCCACGTTGGATGGGGTCTGCACACGATCTTTTAGACCAAAAGTGGCGTCTCCACCACCCACCTTCTTCAATTCACTTTTCATCTCATCTCCCACCTCTTGCTGCTCAAAGGCCTTCGCGGCCCAAGCCATGCACTGGTCCAAAACTCAGGCAGAAACTTCGAGCGCATTCTTCAACTTTTACCTTGTGTGTAATGGAAGCCTGGGCATGAACTGCACTGCCCAGGCCTCCTGAGCGTAGATCTACGTCCTGTGGAAGGTGGTCCCTCCTGCATCCTCCAATTTTGAGAGGGCAACTACAATGCCTGCCATATAGGCAGCTCCTGGCAGAGCCAGGCATATAGGCTGATCTTGGCCACGCAGCAGCCGGCGGACCCCGGCCAGCGACCTGCCACAGCATTGATCAGCTCCCTGCAATGGCCATAAGGCCGTCCAGATACAGAGCTCCCTGCCAAACCTTTCCAACATAACGTTGATGGCTTCAATGTCCGGCCCAACCACGGATAGCATCTCTTCCAATGAAAACCTCTGTGGTTGCAACCAAGCAGAAAAGTATCAAGAAAACTATCCCTCTGCTTCTGCGCGGCTGGCAAAACAGGTCGCCCCTTTGGCAGCTCCAACACATCTCGGGAGATTCACGGCGCGGTGCATCTACCGAGGTCACTTGGGGCAGCGCCGTACAAGTAAGAACCAACCTTCCCGCGCAACCATTTGGGGGATTGGACCTAACAGGCCGTCCAACTAGGTCCCCAATCCAGAAAACATGTTTTTCGCTGCGCAGCGGCGTCCGCCACTTTGATCACTTTCTTTTGCGGCTCAATTTTTATATGCACCTATTCACGATAGAACGCAGAAAAAAATTTCCATCCACTGCAATGCGCCGATTTCGGCGGCTTGTGTGTGTCACACTCCGTCCCGAGGAGTTCTTTTCCGACCTTTTCACATGTTCGATGCAGGGGAGTGGAGCAGGCCTGCAGAGCTCCACTTAAGCTCTCTGCAGTGACTTGAGGATATCACTGGAGACGTCCAGTGATGTACCTGCTACAAGAACTTTTCCACACGCTGTGACTCTACTTTTTCCTTCTTGTTTACATGGTGGTTTTCATGCAGCCTTCCCCCAAACAGGTTTTCCCTCAACATTCTGTTCATCGCGGACTCTGCCACCTTTCCGTTCCATCGTTCATTTCTGCGAGGAACAGAGGTCACAGAAAGCCCATTGTCTAAGTGTGTGCGTGTGTGTGTAACCCTTGGAGTCACAGGGATCCAGTTGGAATTTGCATAGCAGGGGAGCGGTGGGCATTCTTGAAGTCACCGCTCAACGAAGACACTTCAAGTTTGCTGCGATATGCAATCTGGACCACGTACCTGCGAGAAGATGATCGCCACTCATTTCCTTTGGGCTCCGTTGTACCTAGAACAAGACTTCCAGCCATTGTTGCCTGGTTTCTTAGGTTTTTCACTTAGGCTGGCGTGTGGCAACCGCATTCACATCCGTACGCGTAATCTCAAGTGTGTCTGGCTTCATGCCAGCCCAGGGTGTGCCTGCAGAGCACCCCCTCTAAACCCATTGACCGGGGGTTTGTCGTTGTCCCGCCTGCCCGGGAACGTAGGTGTCCGAAGCGGACAGCAGGAGGCTTAGGCCAAAGTTATTTGCCAAGACTTGATGGATTATTGCATTCCAAGCTGGCCGCCATTTTGGCACGCCTTTAGGTGACCAGCGGTCTCAAGTCGCCTGCCATTTCGGCATGGCACAAGGTGACCAGAGCGGCCAAAGCATTTTCTAGGTTCATTGGAACCTGTCGCGTTCTTAGGTGCACACACAGCGTATACACTTAAATACGGTCTACCTAGGTGTTTATAATGAGGTTTGGCTTCATCGGTTCTTGCCCCCTCCATTAGGTTCCCTTTTCGTCCCTGTCCCTTTCCCCTTCGCACACATCTGTTCCCTCCTTTCTTTCATGTCCCCCTGTCTTCATGTCTTGTCATCTCATCTCTTTCCTTCTTTTGCGCACACACGGCTCGGCCCTTAGTATGTACACGCGCAACCTACCTTCAACCCAGGTTTCAGGTCGCCCAGGTCTTTACAATGAGGTGGGTCTTCATCGTTTGTCCCTGTGCACTTGGTTCCCCTTTCACTGCAACAACTTACACCTACAGTGTAGTGGTAAAAGGTGCAGACGCGGTGCCAAACCCGAAGAGCTGGTTCGTAATAAGCGGTGACGCCGCTACAAAGTTGGCGATATTTGCGTGCCCGGGACATCTCACGATCAAACAAGGCGTGGATGGAGCTGCCAATGTAGAAGGCGGCCCGGTGGGGGTGGAACCGTAGGTAGATGACGTTGGCGTGGAGGTAGTCGGTGAGATAGAGTTGTTGATTGGGACGTAGTCGATGCAACAGAGGGAGAAGATTGGTGCAGCGTGGTCCAGCCGGCAGAGTGCGAAAAAGTATGAGGCGGCAAAGTTGACCTTTGAGAAAGACCTAGGGGTGGTGCTCCAAATAGGAAAGGTCACAACAAGATTCCACGTAGCTGAAGAAGTCCAAAAAGACACGAAAGCAATGAACCGAAAGGGACGAAATTGTAGTAGTAGGGGGGAGATTTGAAAAATGGTCACGGTCACAAAATTCCGCCGGGTAGTGATGAAGGAACCATCAGGCGACCAGAGCGTTGGCGGATCAAGCACGTTCACATTAGCTCGCTTCGCGAGAGTTGGATCCCAGCCCCAAGCAATCACAAGGCGGCAAAGATTTGGGGTGTCCAAATGGTCAGCCTTGAGGTTAGTGAGAATCGAGTCGATCTCAGTGGCGATCTCCTCCAACTTCGCGAGGCGAGCCTTGTCCTTGACATTGGCCTTGATCCACTTGTCAATCTCAGTCTTGGTGGCCTTTTGGGGTGAGGAGTCTTCCAGAATGGGTCAGCGATCGCCAATGATGTAAGGCTGCATAGGATCAGCAGGAGAAGACTTGTTCTTCTTGTGTTTATCGGCGTCAGAAGGTGATGCGCGGAAGTGGCTGTCCAAAGTCCGACCCGAACGTGGAGTGACCTTGGTCTTGGACTTGTCCAGGCGGATCTTCTCGGGGTGTCGGGATCAGAGGGGCTGTCCACAGGAGTCTGTGGGTGGCCGGAGGCTGCTTTGAGCTTATCGTTCTCTTTGAGGAGCTGTTCAACCTGGTCTTCAAGGGCCTCAGTGGTGCGCTTGGGCATCTGATGCCGAAGAAGGTCGAAAACCTTGTCAACAAGTGGTCCAAGCCCTTGCGCTTCTCATCCCAATCGTCCTTGAGAGTGGGAGGATGTAGGTGACCAATGATACAGGCGATGTCCACATCAGTGCTCTTGAAGATTTTGCAAGACAGGGAAGACCAGAGGTAAGCTGTCGATTCCGGAAACCTTGAAATTGTACCAAACGGCCATTGGCCACCAAACGGAGTGTCCAGTTCTCCTGCTTCCGGCTCAAGACGTCAATCAGACGAACGACGTCCTCAATGGCTTGGTGATCAATATGAAGATTACGACTCCAAGCTGTGGCGATGACACGACGTGGGAAAGTCAACTTGCACTCCTGATTACGATCAAGGTAGATCCACGATTTGGGGGTGGAGTAGCAGTTCTCAAAGGTGCTTGCAAGAGGAAGAAAGTGGACTCTCCACAGGTAGTCCCGTAGACTTTCACGAGGAGCGCGGGACCTGCGAGAAGTCCGACGATCACGATGTCATCGGCGACGATGATGGTCAGGAGAGCTGCTCGAAGTGCGACCGCGAGGCATGACACCAAGGGAGGGCGCAGATTGCGGCGACAAGCGACAAAAATGGCAGCGGTCACGAGTGGGAAACGTGTGGAGAAACAAGGGTATGGGCATGTCATCTGAGTGGGTGGGCGAATGGTGAAAATGGGCTCAACCGAAAGAGAGAATGCGGTGGCGGTCAGTCACTGTTTTCCAGCTAGGGTAGTTAGAAGTGAGAAGTCAGAGAGGCCAAACTCAGGCCGGAGGAGCATCCATAGCAGCCGAAGTGGGTGAGGACTGGGCGTTGTCGGGCACAGTCGCTGAGGGCGGGGGATGCGATGTAGAGCGAGAGCGAATCGCTTGCCATAGGTGTCCATGTAGGAGACCACGTCCATCAAGGGGGTGACGGTGGGTCTGATCCAGGGTATGGGATAAGGTGGATGTCGTAGAGCCACGGGTGGACTACGCATGGTGTCGATGTTGAGGATCCCGAGACTAGGAGGGATGTGTGCCTGGGGTGGTGTGCGGGAACGTGAACGGGCGGGGGTGGGAAGTTGGTGGGGTGGTGGAGTCGAAATTGCGATGGGGTTGGCGCCGAGATAGAAGAACGGCATCCGCAGCGATGCCCATACTCAGGAGTGGCGGGCGCGCGTACGAAGCCGTTGGGGTTGACCCGGTAGTAGCCATGAGACGCTGGGTCATCTGACGAGGGTCCAACAAACTGAAGAAGGGAAACACCGCGCGCAATCCTCCGCTGCTGAATGTTGAACTCGTGGATAGCTCGACGCGTCTGAATGTAGATGTTGCGAGCGGATATATTCTCAAAGTAGGGTAT